TCGCTAGTAGGTTGGAGGCCATCGCTAGTAGGTTGAAGGCCATCAATTTTCGGTTGGAAGCCATTGCTTCTAGGGTGGAGGCCATCGCTAGGGCGGAGGCCATCGCTATTAGGGTGGAGGCCGTCGCTACTAGGGTGGAGGCCATCGCTAGTAGGTTGGAGGCCATCAATATTCGGTTGGAAGCCATTGCTTCTAGGTTGGAGGCCGTCGCTAGTAGGTTGGAGGCCATCGCTAGTAGATTGGAGGCCATCGCTATTAGGTTGGAGGCCATTGCTTCCAGGTTGGAGGCCATCGCTAGTAGGTCGGAGGCCATCGCTAGTAGGTTGGAGGCAATCGCTATCTGGTTGGAGGCCACCGCGCCATTGCTTCCAGGTTGAGTTCGTAGCTAGTAGGTTGGAGGCAAATGATTGCAAATGGCTCTATCAACCTCACAAGGACTTGCTGTCTACTTGACTTGCTGTCTCAGCCCTGCTGCACTGCTTTGAAGGCTCATGGTGATCCATGTGAGCTGCAATGAGCTGCAATGGTCCCTTTGTGCTTCCAATGCCTCAGGCTGTTCCTCGACGAGCTTCTCCACGTCTCGCGAAGGACTGAGGCAGAAGGAACTCGCTGCAAAGCCAGGCTTCGACCCTCTGGAAAAGCATCCCCAGAAGGAGGTTCTCTCCTGTTACCTGTTCTCGCCCCCGTTTCTATCCTATTTGGATCTATTTGGAACATGTGCCCAGCACAAAGCAACAATGACAACTCGCTGACTTGCGCCATGGTGCTAAGTACAATGAGCTTCGTCTCGATACCCACTGAGCCTGGCAAAGCTGTTGACAAACTTAACCTGGATATCACTTGCACGGGCTGTGAATTGTTGTTCAAAGTGCAAAGGGCAGGGCACGTGTGAATCGTGTTGAGAAACATTGTGTTCCACATGTGGCCTGTGGACAAAGAATCTGCGAATGAGGTGTGACCACTGCGAACTGGGAAGGAGTGGAATAAATTGGATCAGGTGATCCCGCATGAACATGTTGTGAATCAGTCTTGCGAGAGTGTGAATTGTTGCATTGCATTGCTGAAGTTGAATTTTGCCAAGATACGACTGGGTTTGCTGTGATTTATCTGGCCGAAACCCACCTTAGCTGGGCGTCGTTTTCACAAGACTCTTTCAACTCATCCGCTCAATTGGCTGATGATGGTAGTTCATACAAACTCACAATATACATCATCTACAACTGTAACTGTTTACATGAAACATGAAAGATCCACGACGACTAGTGACAAACCACCCATCAACATGAGGACGAGCAACTCTCAGAGAAACTGGCATCCTCACTGCGGATTTCAGGCCTTCCAAGCACCACAAGAAATAGAGAGAAAAGACACCTGATAGCCTAATAGCTATGGCCTCCCCTAAGAGTGATGCCCCCCTATTAATATCTATTAATAGCGATGGCCTCCACCCTAATTACTGTACTAGCGATGGCATGTTCGTTCTATTTCACACAAATCAGACACTTGGTTCATCCATCCATCACCTCCTCGTTCGAGCGCATCAAGAACCACTAGCATCACGGAACGAGGCGAACAAGTTCCGGACAGGACTTGTTTCAGCAACACTTGCAAACCACAACAGGGCACGTGTTCGCTTCCTATATTCTATTGGTCTATTGTAGATCTAAAGCTTGACTGATGAAGCTTCGCATCGCAGCTCCACTCTTGGGTCTTCATAGAGGCTGGATTGCTGGATCAGAGTCATAGTCCCAGTGTCTAGAGTCTAGAGTGATCACCTCACACCACCTTGTCCTACCTTCTGGTCCAATCCATACGGGTAAGAAAGATTGAGTTGGATCAGCATGGCTGAGTAGGTCCATTCACACCACGTGATTCCGCACTCATTTTCAGGGGAACCTTCCAGCGACTTCATCCGGCCACCTCAGCTAATTACATCTCGACCACATGTAACAAAGGCCCACAATGTTGTCTAAATGTTGCACCCACCTCTAAATTGAGCAAAGGCACTGCCCCAATGTGGAAAACGTAAACACCCACATTGAAACATGATATTGTATGACATGACATGCTCACAAGACAAGGTTTGACAAAAAGCCTCTGCTATCCTCTGCTGTTTGCTGTTTAAACTTTAAACAAGTAACATCCTAGCACCGCCAAATCTATCACCTGCAGCTTTTGACTTTGTGGCTTAGGAGCCAGGACAAGATCTGACAGAAGTGTTCTTCCTCCTCTTCACTCCGAAGGGGCAAATCTGTGTACAGCTCTCGCCTGGACTCCGAAGCAGTCTTCGCTCTGCTCACTTCAAGTTTCGGATGGAATTCCAGCCGTGCGGCTGTCACATTTTGCTCATACCTCACCGCGCCCACGCAACGAACGCCGCGCAGAAAAGCGGTTGCGCCAGGGGACCCTCGGAAGTGGCCCCTTGTCTGAGACCCCCTCAAAAGGATGCTCAGAGTGGCTGGGCTTGGAAGCATTACGCCCTCAACATGAAGCGGACGGGTATGAAGGAAGGGAAGGAAGGGAAGGAAGAGAAGTAGACACAGCAGCAGGCCTTGCCACGAACCAACAAATCTGGGTAGTAAAACTTTGAATAATTTGCTGGCTGTGCAACACAGTCGCCAAGGATCACCGGGTGGATAGTTCAGGAGGTTCTTTCGGTGCTCCTCACGACCACGTACAGGAAGACCCAATATACCTGATAGCTAGACCTGGTATACAAGTACCTGCTAGACTCCTAGACCTTGCTACACGAAGGTCGTTAGCCACACTTGTTTGCTCGGTAAACACATGCCCTTCCCACGGCGGTCCTTTGAACCTGCAGGGTTCTCGTGCGTGCCACAGTGAGCGGTCCTCGGGCAGACTGTCGGGAGAGGTTGGGGACCAAATCCTGCTGTTCGAGATTCGAAGACCAAGGGCGTCTCCTCTCGACAGGACGATTGATCGCTGCAAACGTGTTGTTTTTGGAACGGCGCTGCGATCGGGAAACGGTCAGGACAGCAAGCGTCTCAAGTTCCTAGTGCACAGGACTCAAGTTCCTGATTTGCAAGCCAAGCGTCTCGTCTGACACCCAAGTGCCCTGTTTCCGACGAGAATTGCGGCACAAAAGGCACATCAGTTGCCGCTGTCCCTGCAACAGGCTGGAATAGGTTCCAATTCGAGTGCATTTTACCTGCCAACCTTGCAAAGTTTGGTTTTCGCTACATTGATACTGAAGGGCAAATCACGCAGCTGCATTGGAAGGCACGCCATACATGCAAAACTCTCCTTTGGTGCCTCACATGGCACCCAGGCCAAATATGGCAGCTCTGGCGCTTTGTAGCCATCCGCTTCCAACACTTTGACCTAAAACAAACTTGCGCACAAGCAAAGTCGATAGTTCTATATTTGCACAATCAAATGCAAAAAGGTCATCCACAGAAGGATTTCGACTGCAAACACCCAAATATTACAGTAGAATAACTAGATGTAACTAACCCCTAAGCCAGCAAAAACATCAATCGACCAACAAGATCAATCGGCCTGCAACCATCTATCCAATTTGACTTTGTGCGCATCCTTGGCACGCTGACTATATAGTCAAAGCATCAAAAGGACTATGAAAAGGCTACCTTGATCACAACGTCTTGGTAACACGGAAGTAAGTACAAACACAAGATCACAAGTAACACAAATTGTACAATGTTCCTTAAACAGTCGCCCAGCACCTCAGCGCAATTGGGAAATGAAATCGTACACAAGACACTTCAAGACACCCTCGCATCGGACACTGTTTTGCAATCTTACATGATCTTACCGCACGCGCGTCAATCAGGGGCAAACCATTACAACTGGCACCAACGCCAGAATGAGAATGCGACCAAAGGAACCATGCACTAGGTGCAAGTAAGGCGGGGGTTGGCTAAAAAACATAACAGAGGAACAGCAGGCAAGTAACGCGTCGCCTAAGTAAAACGAATAGGTCCAAAAGTGTACCAGACCAGGAGGAATGGCACGTGGTTCCTAACTCTACCAAACCAAGACAAAACAAGAGCCAAGGGGTTCCCTATCATTCCGAGGGTTATACACACACTTAGATCCATGCTCGCAAGAGCTCTATCAGTTTGGAGTTTCCCGTGAGGTAGTTACTGAATCGCTGCAAATTAGCGAGGGGGGAGGTCCCGAATTGTAAGTTACAATTTCCGATGATTTGGGGGGTCAAAATTGTAGTATTACATTTTCTTTGGACCTCAAAAATTGTAAGTTACATGTTCGAACCCCAGCTTACATTTTTCCAATGAAAATCAGGAAATATGAGAAAAATGTAGAACCCCCCCTGCCACGTTCAGGCAATTTTAGCTAAGTTACATTTTTTTGTTTTGGGAGCCCTTGAACTGAAAATGTAACATTTTTGGTTTAAGGCTCTTTCCCTAGACAAAAATCGTTCCATTTTGCACGAATGTCCTGTATTGTCCTTTTCACGTTCCTTTCATTTTGCAGGTCGTCCTTTCAGTTTCATTTCATGGTGTACTCATTTTCATCATGAACGCCATTCCATTGCGCCAGTTTTACACACTGAAGCGGCGCGGCAGGCAGGTCTTGAAAGATCCAGGCAGCCAAGTGGATTGCCAGTCAAAAGAGGCAAAGGTCCACAGGCCAAAAGCCTATGACAAACTGTGCCCCGCCCGCGCCCGCATCATTGACACTAAGGTCAAATTTGGAAACTGGCATACCGGTGCCGAAGTAAGAAAGGAAGAAAACAAATACAAAAAGGGATCCCACCAATTAGAAGCCAAAAAGGCGTTTATAAGACAAATCCTCGATGGCATCACCAGAGCGAGACAGCAACAACACAAAAGCGAGCAGGATAGGGTTGAGCAAGATGGGTCCACAATTGTCCACTGATGGGATCCTGTCCTTTGAGGGTGATGTGATGCTTGCCTGTGCGACAGCACACGCCGTTACGGCCATGACAAGTCAAATGCAAGCGGCTGTCATCCTGTGAGAGCCATCCCTGAATTCTGGTGCGCTTTCTCCATCGAGCGCCATGTTGGCAAAAGTCGGTGATAAACTGACGTGACGAATGATGAGCGCAAACCCTGGTCATGGAACCAACAGGATTTTCAAGAAAACAAGGAACAGAAAGACTGATACACAAACGAATGATTTTATGAGTGAAGAACATGGTTTGGTTCCCAACTTTGATTTTGTGGAGATCTTTGGCACTAAGTCCGGGTATTCCAAACAAATGCTGGTTGGTACGAAGAGGACCCCAGCTGGAATGGCTCGGACCATGTCGTGCTCTGCTCCATGACGTACATGGGGTAGCAAGCCAAACTCCCTTAATACAACCACTCCTAATCCAACCAAACACAACAGCAGCAACCTTGGGGCTGGTAAGATCAATGCGAGGGTCATCACTAATATCAAGGGCTATGACGGCTTCCCCTCGCCTACGTAGTTGGCGGTCAATCCCATGGTCCCCACAAAACAAATCAAGATAAACACGACGTTTACCAAAATCTTTGCAAACACGACGAAAGATATGCTTGAGAAGTTGAGCACCATCACATTTCTTGGGACCATGGTTTCGCACATGAGCTGTCTTGATCATGCGATTGATCACATGTTCGTTCCAAATGGTAGCTTTGTTATCCTGCTGCTTCCGTTCAAAAGTTCGGGCAGGTTGTTGAGTACCATCCGACCGAATTCTATGACATTTGGGTGAATTTTGTGAAGTTCGCTTTGAATTCCCGCTGTCTTTACATAACGGCGGAGGGACGAATCGGCTGACCATCTTCCCCGCTGCTTGACCTCGTCCATGGTCTTCCGTTGGCTGATGATGTCGTAGGATGCACCTCCGTGGCGAAGGGTGTACATGCTTACTCCCAGTGGTTCCAACTGAAGGTACTTGACAGCCTTCTGAAACACATTGAGAATTTCCATGTGTGTGTGGTTCCACAGTGGTGTGCTTGGCTTCTTCATGTGAATAAGTTTCATGAGGATGGGATTGATCCACAAGTCGCTGTCCAGTAGAATTCCCTGGTCGAAATGACCCGTCTTCCCAGGTACCCGTCCCTCTGCTGGATGGAGCAGCACGGCAAAAAACTGCACGCTGCTATCAGATCTGCTCATAGGGGGGATAAGCTGGTCGGTTGTGAGGCTGCTTGCCTCGCCAGGTCTCATGTAGGTCGTCCACTGAAACAGGTGAACCGCCATCTCCAAGAAGTTTGTCGCTATGCAGTACCCCAGTATGGCTCCAAATCCCTCTATTGGCAGTGGCATCCTCTGTAATGGTGGATCTGCATTCTTCCAACCCCGAAGGGCCCGTAAACACCGGGGCAGACTTCCACTTGCGCTCTTCCCCAACTGTGGATGACAAAACCTGATGGCAGCATGAATCCGAATCCCTGAGTCCACTTTGAAACCGGAGTCGAACAGGTCCTGCAGGTACTCCACCAGAATGTTGTCTACGTCAAGGGGGTTTGTGAAGTCTACCACATGGGGGCCCAACCAGTGGTTGAAGTCCTTGATCCGTCGCATGTAGTCCAGGCGTGTAGGTTCCCGGACACTTCGGGCCTCTAGGTAGGTCAGGCCCTCTGGAATGGATCCTCTGAGCTTTGTCTTCGCTTGTCGCAGCAGGTGTCGCGAGACATGACGATCGACCACTTCTGCAACTGACGGCTCACAACCTTTCGAACCATCTTCTACATGTCTGACTGGGCTGTTCCACCAACCCCTAAGTCCTTGGGCCTCCCAAATATCGGTGGCACGAGATGGCACATCAGCAACATTGCGTTCAGAGGGCAACCATCTAACATGTACCTTAGACTTGGTGGCAAGTGAAAGAGCACATAGTTTGCGAAGAGGTCGAAGAAGATGAGTCGACTTAGCTCTACCCTTAGTAACCCCAAGTGCCGATGGGAGGTTGTCTGTGAGGCAAACAAGTCTTCTGCCAAAAGCACGGCTGCAGTGCAGGAGATGTTCCGCGCTCCAAACTAATGCTCTCGCTTCTGTGTTCAGAATGTTGGCTTCGAATCTCCAAGGCCGTGACCATGCTATGGACCAATCATCCGGATTGAGAATGTCAACAGGAATCTCCGTGAACACACCATCCGAAATGAACCTATAATGTACTCCACTATCATCAGCAAGTTGTGAGTATATACCCGGGTGTTCTTCACTAGGTTGATGACTGCCATGGAGGTGTTCGGGGTTTATACCCGGCTGTTCGTCACTGTCATGGAGATGTTTAGGAGAAAACGCATGCTCTCTAGCATTTGTAGCGTCTGCAAAAAGAAACCGCCACCGCTCGCTGCTTCGACCAATGCTCTCAGCAACATGTGAATCAACAGTTCTATAGCAAACACCATATCCCCAAGGAGACGCCTCTGATGAAGTGATATCAGGACTCCAACTTGAGTTGACATGAAATTTGAGCAATGGAAGGATTGCACTGACCCATTGCAGCTCCTGTCTAACACTCTTCCAAAGCCTTCGATTCTGGTTGGAACCGTCACCAATAAAAGCGTAACAAGCGTTGATAAGTGAAAGTCCACAACGTCGACAAAGAAGGGCCCAGGTTAGGTGACCTACTAAGAGCTGCATAGTACGACCAGAACAGACTTGCCTTTCCAACAGCTCGTCAATGGCAAACTTGATACGATTGATACGAGTCTTCTTGATCGATACAGTTCCCCTGCCAACGAAGTCTGCACGCTGGCTAGCAGGCTCAATTTCATGAACCAATAGCCCCCACCCTCTCAGAGTGGCGATGATCCTCTGAAGTCCCTCATCAACGACCTGGCGATCGGCACTCTTAAGAACACCGAGGTTGTCGACGTACGCAGCGACTGCGGTTGACCCCTTGTCATTCATCACAACTGCATCCCGCTTGTCCCCGATGAATTGCTTTGGTGTGAAACCAGAACAAGTGATGGCATACTCAAGTACGGACTGACAAAGGTGAAGAGCCCAACTCCACCCATCGGCAACACGGTGACATACGGCAACACAATGGTTTCAGGATCAGTAGGTGTCCCAGCAATGTCGGAGACGCCAACCTTACCAGCCTCAATGCCGGGCATGGTGAACATCTCAGCAATGCCATCCGGGACGGCCAGGGTGTAAACAGCGTTAGTGAGGTCACCTGAACCGATGTAAAAGGGCTCACCTTCAAGAAATTCAGTACGAGTGAATGGGGAGGTCAGTGGATGGTGGTTTGTTGAAGCTCTGGTTCAATCGACGTGTGTCGAAAATGAGGCGAAGCTGTCCAGACTTTTTCTTGACAAAGAAGACTCCAAGGGCCCCCTTCTCACCATTGGCAACTTTGAACTTGATCATGTTTCTGCTCTTGAGTTGTTCCAACATTATGTTTCAGAATGGGATCAACATACGGTTTAACCGGCGTGTCCTCAACCTGACTGCTAGAACCATCATGCAGCATATGCTTGCGCCAAGCACCCAGCCATTCACGGTCAGCCGGAGGTAGGCAGTTGTCCAGGGCAACTGGGCAATTGCTCACCTCAGGCCAGGAGATATTCTCCTTGACGTAGGGCTCCACATCACTGCGACCACTATCATAGGTCTTGGATGATGAACACAGGCTAGACAGGGAAACCATCTCATGAGGGTCAACATGATGATAAGCATCCCTGCAGCATTCTGTGATGTGAGAAAGAACACGGCGTTGCACACGTGTAGGTTTCCTCTTACTGTGAAAATCTGAATTCACACGCCCAGCAAGCTCATTGAGGGTCTTAATACCCTGGTTTGCAAAAAGGCTCGTCGCAACCACCGGGGCCCGCACCATCAGAGTCAATCTCGGGCAGCGGGAAGATGTTACGCTGACGAAAGTCAGCAGCTTCCACACCACGGATGAGGAACGTGCAAAAAATGAGTGCCCAAAGTCCTTCCCCCCACCAAAACGAAGACACCCTCAATGAAGATGTCACTTTTCCTTTTCCTTTCCTGCTGATTTGCGAGCGAGGTTGCTTTCCTCTCTCGCCTTCCTGCGCTCCTTTGCCACAAGAGCCTCCTTCTGAAGTTCTCCTCCCACCCACTCCGTCAGCTTTGGCGACACCACGGATCCAACCCGCGCGCCGCCCATGGCGCCCATAAAAAGAGCACCTTCGCCTGACTCGTCCGAGGCCTGGAGTTTGAACTTGTGCTTCTCTTCGAGCTGATCGTAAGTCAACATGGTCTGGAGGATCTTGCAAAGACCCTCGTGCTCGACGGCAGGGCCGTCTGAAGGCTGAAACTTGCACGCCACCCGCCAAGCTTGATGATGGGCAAGCGCTGATCCTCCATGGTTGACCATCTCCATCAGGACGTGGCGGACGGTCCTGGGACCGCCGATAGGCCAGTCGCTGAACTTGCTCTGCTTGCACTCTTGGACACCAACTCTGAACTCCTTGAAACGGTTTCCATCGACGTCCCTGGTCACTGGAAGGGTACGAGCATCGTCTCCGTTGAGACCGGAGTTCATTGCTTGAGCACCACCTGGGGGCTGGTTGAGAGCCGCAGCCAAAGCGGCAGCACCCCCGCCACCTGCGATGTTTGGTCGAGCACCAACGGCGGCTGCCCCGGCTAGTGGAGCCACCAAAGCAGCGCCTCCTACAGCACCACCGCCAGGATTCGCCGGGGCCGCAGCAGCTGCGACTGGTGCCACTGCAGCTGATCCACCAGGAGGAGGATGGGGTAGCCCAAGGTGAATGCGTTCCGCGGCAGCATGCCGCTCTCCCTCTATCATGAGTTGGTTCCTGGCCGCATCTCCTGGAAGGTTCCTGAAGGGATAGATCTCGTGGGCATTGATTCCGAAGGGGGTAGGTCCATGAGGTTCGTAGTTTCTCCATGCTGTGATATCTGGTCCTCCTAGGTCTTCTAGATACAGGTCTCCGTCTGGGTCAGTGAACATGGCTTAGAAGTAGTCGAGCATGCCATAGTGTCTCTGTGACGTCGTAGTGAACTAAAATGAAGTCACCCGGTGATAGGGGCCCACGAGCTGGCGGCGCCAAGCCGTCTAGCATCTGCACCCTTGCTGGGACCCTTGGCGTTACCAGCCGACTGCCAGCTCACCACCCGGATTGCAAAGCCACACCCCAGCAAACAACACACCAAGATGGCAGCAGCAATCAGCTCGAAGTTGATGCTGCCAGTGGTGCAGGTCACTGGAGGGCAGCTGATGTGACCACAATTGACTTCACAGCTGGGGCACTGAACCCTGCTACCAAAAAGCAGATTCACCACGAAGCCACCACCGACGAAAGCAACGCTATGGCTAAGAATTGGTGGGAACCCGGACATTGAAGCTTGAGCAGGAGAAGTACGGCACATTCATGCCTATCAGCCTATCATGAATCCCGTTACAAGAACATCCATGGTGCACAAGTCAGTCCCAAGGAATGTGTGGACCAATGTTGGTGTGACTTCTGCGCAGCTTGTTTGCCAGAGCATGCCACTGCATATTGGCAGGTTGATTTTTGAAAAAATAATCGCAACCCCTTTAACCATGAAAACGGGGGGACCCAAAATGTAAGTTACAGGTCCAATAAAATGTAACTTGATACGTGGGGACGTTCTGAGTTGCATTTTTGGAAGATCTTTTCGGGTAAGGAGGGGGGGGTCAACAAAGGTAACTTGGAAACCCTGACGCTTCGTTTAGCTTCTGTTTTCCTATCGTTGTCTTGTTTTGCTATCCTTGTCCAATCGAACCTTGTTACATTGAGTACCCGGTACCCGCATGGGAGGGTACCCGCTTGACCAGTTTGAGCGTGCCCTTTCATGTTCCTTGCGTGTTGCATCAATTTCTGTTCATTTCCCGTTCATTTTTGCATTCCGTTCCTGTTAATCGTTTCAATAGGTGGTATGCTCAAATCGGTCATGTGGGTACGAACATGTAACTTTACATGCTGGGTTCCTTCCCTTCAGACATGTCCTTTCACTTTGCAGTCATTTCCCTTCCTTTCGCGTTCAGGTCCTTTCATTCTGCATTCATTCTTTCCATGTTCCTTCCATGTCGCGCGCCTTTCCCTTGAATTTCCTTCAATAGGTGGTATGCTCAAACTGGTCATGCGGGTACCCTCCCCAGCGGTCGCAATTTACTTACTCGAACATTACACGCTGAAGGTCTTTTCGCTTTTGACATTTCCTGTCATTTTGCAAAATCCTGACGCACAGACGTACACAAACACACATTTATTGACATGCGTACTGACTCGAAAGCGGTGCCACACGCCAGCCTAAGTAAACCGCCTAAGGGCTCAGGTAAGTTAAAGATCTCCGGAGCTCAAAACAAAAAACGAACGAGCGACAGGATGATGGCGAGACGTGCATTAGCCCTTTAAGTTAAAGATCTCCAAAGCTCAGAACGAAAAACGAACGAGCGACAGGATGACGGCGAACCGTGCATTGGCCCTTGACAGGAAAGTTAAAGATCCCCAAAGCTCAAGATGAACAAGTGGGTTGGAGGGCGGGCAACGCAAGTTGTTGGAGGCCATCTCCAACAAGTTGAAGTACTTGAAAACCTAAACACCTCCTGGAACAACATCAGGTACATGAACCACCATGAAACAAACCAAGGGACCACAGCAACCAATCAACAGTTTAACAATAGCAGGTACGTTTTCACCTCCCTGGCGCCCGGTCTTTGTTGGCCAGGGCACGCGCCAGGCAGGGAGTCCTGGCCCCCTGCTTTTCCAGAAACAATCCGAATGGATCCTTGTGACTCCAAGGAGTACACACACACGCCTCCCGTGAGGGGAGGGGAGAAAAACTAAGGTTAAGACGAATGCGCACGCGCGCAGCAAGGACAAAAAGATGAGACATGAAAAGAGGACAAGAGGGGACAAAAGTGTATGCGGTTGCGATGAAAAGGAACCAAGTGCACAGGGATAAACAATGAACCCCACCTCATTATCAAATCTCGACCTGGAACCTGGGTTGAAAGTGCGCGCGCACACGCTAAGGCCAGGACCAATGCGCGCGCAAACGAGAGAAAGGATGAGGGGGGGAACCAAATGAAGGGGACAGAAACCGATGAAACCTAATCTCATTGGAAACCTGTCGCAACGCCTCGTTTGTATGTAGAGGGAGGGGTAGGGAGAGAAGAGAAGAAGGAAAAAGAAAAGAAAGGAAACGAAGCTACGACACAAGCGTCCAGGACACACCAAGAGAAGAAAGAGAAAAAGAGAGAGAGAGAGAGAAAGAGAGAGAGAGAGAGGGAAAGAAAAGGAAGTGGACAAGTGTTCCCAGCTACGAGCAAGCGTCAGGAACACCCCAAAAGATCACCAAAAAAAGAGGCAAAGGGTAGGGGGAGGAAAGGGGTTAAGGTCCCGACAGGCTCCAATGAGCCTTGAGTGACTTCGGCCGCTGCGGCCACGCACGCCGTGCCAAAATGGCTGGCGCTATGGTCACCTAAAGGCATGCCCGAAACGGCCATCTTCGCATTCAAGAATCAAGCAAGTCTTGGCAAATGACTTTGGCTTAAGCCTCCTGCTGTCCGCTCTGGACACGTACATTTGTGGGCAATGGAGATAAAGACAAACCCCCGTTCAACGGGTCCACAGAGGCCACTCGCCGGGGCCACCCTGGGCCCTCACTGAGGAGAGACACACGCGTACTGACTCGAAAGCGGTGCCACACGCCAGCCTAAGTAAACCGCCTAAGGGTTCAAGTAAGTTAAAGATCTCCAGAGCTCAAAGCAAAAAACGAACGAGCGACAGGATGACGGCGAGACGTGCATTAGCCCTTTACAGTTAAGTTAAAGATCTCCAAAGCTCAGAACGAAAAACGAACGAGCGACAGGATGACCGCGAACCGTGCATTGGCCCTTGACAGGTAAGTTAAAGATTTCCAAAGCTCAAAATGAACGAGTGGGTTGGAGGGCAACGCAAGTAGTTGGAGGCCATCTCAAACAAGTTGAAGTACTTGAAAACTTGAACACCTCCTGGAACAACATCAGGTACATGAACCACCATGAAGCAAACCAAGGGACCACAGCAACCAATCAACGGTTTATCAATAGCAGGTGTTTTCACCTCCCTGGCGCGTGGTCTTCGTTGGCCAGGACGCGCGCCAGGGAGTCCTGGCCCCCTGCTTTTCCAGAAACAATCCGAATGGAGCCCTGTGACTCCAAGGGGTACACATACAAAATGACGCCTCGCCACCAAGCAAAAAATCGACTTCAAAAAATGTAACTTCCAATTGGGCCACACCCCCAAACCCCCAGATTTTCCCAGCAACGCCTAGGTTGTGTGAGAAACGCTGGCCTCGCAAATTGTAACTGACGTTTTGGCCGCGTCCCAAAACCCTGAAAATTTTTAAGGAACTGGGATGCAACCCTGAATAAAGTACAGTTTTAATACCAAAAAGAAAATGGCAGTAACAAAAATCAAAAGGAAAGGAAATCAATGCAAAATGAAAGGAAAATGAAAGCGCGGAGGTCACCGTCACCGTATGTGTGTTTTGGACGTAATTTGGTGCGTTCTTTGGGATTTGCCCTTCTTTGAAAATGGTGCCCGCAGCGGGCGCCATCTACGAAACGGTGCAACTTTTTGTTTTCTCTAGGGTAGTAAAAGCCGGTGACCCCGCGACATGCAATCTATTCAGGGGGACGTCCCAGTTCCTTGTAAATTCTGAGGGTTTTGGGATGTGGACAAAACGTAAGTCAGCGTTTCTCACATAACCCAGGTGTTGCTGGGAAAACTGGGGGTTTGGGGGTGTGGCCCAATTGGAAGTTACATGTTTTGCAGTTGGTTTTTGCTTGGTGGCGAGGCGTCATTTTGTGTGTGTAACCTTTGGAGTCACAAGGTTCCTTTTGGAATGTTCTTAATCGTAAATATTAAGCAGGGGAGCACGGCGTGATTGTGGGACCACGCTCAACGAAGCTTTTGTAAAGTTCGGCAATCATGCACGATACGCCGTCATTTGTCGCTTCGACTTCGACTTGAGTTTTTGACTCCAGGTTCCACAGGGTTTTCTTGATCTGCTCAGGATTTGGGAACCCAGGTTGGTGTGCGGCAACCGCTTTCAAGTCAGTACGCATTTCTATAAGTGTCTCTCTCGTGAGAGTTCAGGGTGAGCCCGCAGACTGACTTCTCATTAAAAAACAAGTGACAAAAAAGGTAATTATGGCCCAGGTGGGACACAGTTTCGTCCCTCCTCACCTGAACGCATGCTTTGTCCTATAGGTCCGGCCTCTGTACGGCACCAGCACCTCTGACAAGCAGCAGTGGTCTGCGTACTCAATGAAGTTCGACTCCGAGACCTCTTCCCTCCGGCAACCTGTCCGGCTCATCACCTCTTCCACACGTTCACGTGACCAGTCCAGCAAACGAAGCCGCTGAAACTTTACAGAAGCATAAGGTGTCAGTGAGTTGAGGGCAAAAAACGTTTCTATAGCAGGGACTTGCATTCAACCAAGCTGCCTTAGCAAAGGGCGCTGAATGGCATTGTCCAGTGGCGCGACAAATTCGCCCAGCGCAGAACGCCTCAGCCATGAGGTTAGTGCCTGGTTCTCTGTCCCCTGAGCATCTGACCAATCCCACCAAGTAGAAAAAACAGTCGAAAAGAAAACAGAACAGTCGAAAATCATCGAAACTGATGAAGTCAACGATTGCCAGCAGCGAAGCAACTGGAACCTGAGTTCGTGCGCTCTTCCATGGTCCATTGACAAGCCCGCCAGAATAAGCAAGCGCCTGAGCGGTTAAATTGTCGCAAAACTTTAACTTTAGATTGCTAATCTGTTGGTTCAATTCTAAGCGTTCCAAAATGGACTTTTTTAGACCTGTCACATCAAAAACAAAAACTTTAATCAGCAAGTTCGAAACTAGGTCCAGATCAGGAAGGGGGCCAGATCAGTGAGTCTGTTGGGTAACGTAGGTTACTAGTGTACATATAATCAAATATTGTTTAATA